CCCTCCACCCAGACCTCAAGCCTCCTGAGGCCCCACCCAGCCTCACCTGTGGGGTGATCCCACACCAGAAGTTAGAGTAGTAGGTCTGGGAGTCCAGCATTGGGGCCACCACTGGCAGTCCCCGCTCCGTGAGAAGCCGCAGGGTCTGGTTGTTGGTCAGAATGTTGTCTGTGTCTGAGAACTTTGAGAAGGAAGATGTCACAGGTCCCAGTCCTATCCAGGCTTCAGGACTAAAGAGTTCTCTAAATGGGGGGCTGGAGAGACGGCTCAGTGGTTAAGAGCACTGGCTGTTCTTGCAGAAGACTGGGGTTCGATTCCAGAACCTATGTGGTGGCTAACAATAGTCCATAACTCCAGTTCCAGGGGATCTAACGCCCTCTTCTGGCCTCTGCGGGCACTGCATAACACAGGTGCACTTACATACACACAGACAAAACACTCATACACATAAACTAAAAATAATAATTAAAAAAAAAACAAAAACTAAGACTTCTGAGCTGAGCACAGTGGCACACTCCCAGCACTGGCAAAGGCAGGCAGATCTCAGTGAGATGGAGGCCAGCCTGGTCTTCATAGCAAGTTCTAGGCCAGCTGGGGCTACAGGGAGACCCTGTCTCAAAAAAAACAAAACAAAAACACCAGACTTCTATCAGGGTCAGGCCCCAACACCTTCCACCCAAGCCAAGCTTCCTTACCAGGATATAGTCAGCTCCCCAGCTCCTGGCAAAGGTCAGTGCCTCCTGCTTCAACTCCATCAAAAACTGGTGCCTTTCTTTGGTCCAGTGCTTGGGACCTTGTTCATCAGGGTAGGCTCTGAGGGAGGAAGGAAGTGAGATTGTTCCCTTGAAGGGAGGGGGGTTTCTCCCCTGTGGCACTGGGAGCAGCTGTTCTCCACCACCCCCAGCACTCTGCCCTCAGGTTACCACCTGGCCTCCTCAGGCCTCCAGACAACAGCCGCATAGTCACCACCCACAGCTGCCAGCCACTCCTGCAGCATCTCTGTGCTGTTGTCCACGTTGTGATCAGTGGCACACCTGGGAACGCAGGAGGAAAAGGGTTGAGGGAGCATTGCCATGGGAGCGCCGAACCCCCAAGGTGCTCTTGACCTTGAGGTGTCGTTGGACACCCTCAAGTTTGGTTTGTCTTGAGCTCAATGGCAGAGCAGGATGCAACAGTGAAGGTCTGGAGGCAGGGCAGTCAAGTACAGATTATCATTTTGTGATCTGCTGTGTGGCCACAGATAAGTCTCATCCTCTCTCTGGGCTTCACATCCTTCTGTAACTGTGCATTTTTTTAAATGCATTTTTTTCAAACTGGGAATTGAACCTAAGGGCTTGTGCATGTTAGGCAAGCCCTTTACCACTAGGCTACATCCTTACCCTGAGTGCCTTGTAAAAGATGAAAAGGTGACCCTAAGAATCACACCTGCCACATTCCCTTGTTTCCATTTCCTTCCTATCTTGTGGCATCACAAGACAGGCTCTTTCCTTCTCTGAATCAGAGAGCTGCTGTTTTTCTCTACGGATTTGTAATTACATCCTGCACACTATACCATGCTCTGAGCACCCCTGAGAAGTACTGAAGGGCTGGACTCTGCTGCCGGAGAGCAGAGCACAGCCTCCCCTCAGTTGGGGAAGAGGCTCCCATAATGGAGGCGGGAGTCTTAGTCAAGAGTCCAGGTTTTAGGGGGTGCTGTCCCTTTAAGCCAAATCCCCAGAAATGAAGACTAACTACGTGTCAAGTCTTACAGGGGTGGGAACTAACAAACTCCCAAACTGTGGTGATTGTGGGCCGCCTCCCTGGGCCACAGCTCCACCCCCAGCCCAACTTTGGTGTGTTGTGAGGAGCAGCTTGTCCCTTCCCTCAGTTTATCACCAGCCTCAGCTTGGGGCTCCTCCCTGTTTTGGGCTTCGACAGACAGGGGCTGTGGCCTCTGATTCTTGCCTCCTATGGGACCACAGCCCTGGGGTGTCAAGACCAGCCCCTCTACCCAGAGAGGCTGGCAGTGCCAGTGGGGAGAGGAGCCATCCTGACACCCCTCCCTGCCCAGCATGGAGCTCAGGGCTGAGGGCTCCACCTAGGAACCTCCAGTTTGGCTGATCCCTGCCACGCTGGGCCCCAGGGGACTCCAGAGATTTGTCACCTCCACTCCAAGTCAAACTGACCACAGGTCCCAGGGCTGGGGTGCATTTTGGGCGCTGAGGGATGGGTCAGAAAAATAGAGCCTCATTTAAACGCAGGGAAACCCAGGATGTGTAGGGGGCCCTGAGGAGGAGAGGGTGTCCCTATGACCTCAGAGGTCTGTCCTGGCCCCTCAGGAGATTAGGGATCCTGCTGAGGGGCATGGGACACTGAGGGCCAGTCTAGATGGTGCCTGGGTGGGAGTGATGTCCTAGAGCAGGGGTTGGGGGCCTTGCCGCAGAGGTGGCCACCTCTTCATCTCTCACCAGAGGACCAGCCTGGCTCGGGGGTAGTCCATTCGCTCCAGCGCGCCCAGGTAGTGGGGCAGAGAGTGCTCGGCATTGCGGGCCAGGATGGCGAGGACCACGGTGGGCAGTGGTGTCTCCACGGCACCCGTAGCTTGGAGCCACGGCCTCAGGAGCAGCAGCAGCTGTAGCAGCCAGGCGGCGCGCATGGCGGGCGCAGGGCAGCAGCGGAGGCCCCGGGACTCCCGAGCTCGGTCGGGGAGGGGCGGGGCCTGGGCGTGGCTGGGGCGGGGCCACGGCGGGCAAAAGGGAGGGGGCGTGCCCTGCAGCCTGGGGGTTCCCGCGCCCTCGGGGTCCCCGCGCCCCTCCCTCGGGCCCGGCCGCTCGGGTGTCCTCTCCTCCGCCCCATCCCTGGGCGCCCAGGATCAGACACCTGCTGCAGATGCACCCCCGGAGCGGCGACCCCTAGCCTGGCGATGACGGGCGAGAGAGGATCCGGGTGACCGCATTGCCTCCAGCCCCGCGGCGGACATGGCCTGGGCGCTCATCCTGGAATCCCGGCGCCCCTGGATCCCGGCTCCGCGACCCTCGGGCCACGCGCGGACCTCAGCCGCACACCCCACGCGGTGGACCCCCGGGGTTGCAGCCTTCGCGGCAGGAGGGTGTCCCCTGCTTCACCCCGGGCGCCCTCCGGCGGACCCAGACGGGAACTGCACAGTCCCGCCAGATGACGCGATGGGCTGGAGAGGAAGCCCCGGCTGGGGGCGGGGATGGTGTCCCCCTGACCTGGGCGGGTCGTCCCGCAGCGGCCCCGGATGGCGTCCTCCCTTTACCGTCCACGCCTCGGTCACTGGCAACAGCATGGCTCCGGCACCTTAAAGAAAGCAAAGCCTCCTCAGACTGAGCCCAGGACTTGGAGGGACCACGGAGCCGCGGGGGTGACTCAGCCCCGCTCCAAAACAGGGGATTCAGCCTCCTCCGAGGACCCTACAGGGATACGAAGGGAGTCTCCAACCCTGTCTTAGGAGAGGGGCAGAGAAGTTCCAGCAGGGTCCCTGTCACCAACAGGCATTGCACAACATGGGTGCACTAACATGCATGTAGGCAATACACTCGTACACATAAAATAAGTTTTTAAAAAAATTTTAGAAGGTTTTTATGTGTACGAGTGTATTGCCTGCATGTATATAAGTGCACCTGTGTCACGCAGTGCCCCCAAAGGTCAGAAGAGGGCATCAGATTCCCTGAAACTGGAGTTCCAGACCATTTTTAGCTGCTATGGGGGTGCTGGGAACTGAACCCGGGTTCCCTGCAAGAGCAGCCAGTGCTGGTAACTACTGAGCCGTCTCTCCAGCCCCTAAAAATAAAATCTTTAAAAAAGACTAAAAAGGGAACAAAAGCCGGGCTAAGCCGGGTGTGGTGGCGCAGGCCCTTAATCCCAGCGTTCAAGAGGCAGAGGCAAGCGGGTCTCTGTGAACTTGAGAGTAGCCTGGGCTATACTGTGAGGAGGAGGGGGAGGGGGAGGAGGAGGGGGAGGACAGAGTGGAGCCTGATGGCTCACACCGGTAATTATAGCACTCAGGAGGCTGAGACAGGTGCATGGCCAGCCTGGGCTACAGAGTGAGACCCTGCTTCAAGTCATAAGATTATTAATAATAAAAAGTAAAATGTGGGGCTGGAGAGATGGCTCAGCGGTTAAGAGCACTGGCTGCTCTTGCAGAGGATCTGGGTTCGATTCCCAGCACCCATATGATGGCTAGGAACCATCCTTAACTCCAGTTCCAGGGGAATCCGGCCCTCCTCTGACCTCTGCAGCATTGCACAACACAGGTGCACTCACATACATGCAAGCAATACACTTGTACACATAAAATAAAAATAACAAATATTTTTTTAAAAAAGTAAAATGTAATAGGAGATGCCTGAGAGGTCCTCACACAACAGGAGGACATGGCTGGAGTACTAATGAACACTTACCAGACACCAAATCCTGTGGCACCTTGATCTGGGACTTTCCAGTCTCAAAATTATGAGCAAAAAATGTCTGGACTTAGGTATGATTGTGCACACCTGAACCCTAGAATTCCATAGACAGAGGCAGGAGGATCCTGAGTTCCAAGCAGTCTGAGATACATGCCAAGTTCAAGACCAGCCTGGGAGGTGGGGGGCTGGAAGGAGGGCTCAGTGCTGAGAGCATTGCTGCTCCTGCAGAGGACCCAGGTTCAGTTCCCAGTACCCACATGGTGGCTAACAAGTATCAGTAGTTACTCCAGCTTTAGAGAGACTGAACACTGTACTCTGGCATCCAGAGGGCACCAGGCATACAAACAGTGCACATACACCCACGCAGGTGGAAACTCATACAAATCAAATGAAAACAAACAAATCTTTTTTTTCCCCAGTGCTGAGGACTGAACCCAGGGCCCCGCACTTGCTAGATAGGCACTCTATCACTGAGCTAAATCCCCAACCTCAAATCAACATCAAAAAAAAAAGACCAGCCTAGTTCAGGCATGCACATGTCTATCATCCCAGCACTTGGAGGCTGAGGCAGGAGGACTGCTGTGAGTTTGAGGTCAGTCTGGAACACACAAACTGTCTCATTCATAAATAAATAAATAAATAAATAATAAAGGCAAGGAGGGTAGAAGAGATGGTTCTGTTGGTAAAGTGCCTGCTGGGCAAACACAGGTACCTGAGTTTGAATCCCCTGAGTAAAAACTGGGTGCAGGGCACATATCTGTAACCCCAGTGTCAGAGAGGTGAAAACAGGAAGATCCCTGAAGTTCACTGGCCAGTCCAGCCAATTGGTGGGCTCTGGTTCAGTGGAGGGGTTGGGGAGCTGGCTCAGTGGGTAAAGCCATGCAAGCATGAAGACCTGAGTTTAGATGCCTGAACCTATGTAAAACCATATTCACGTCTGTGGTCCCAGTGCCCCTAAGGGAGAAGGGGAGGCATCTCCAGTGCCTCCTGGGCCAGCTAGCCTGGCGTACCGTGGAGAGCAAGAGACCCCATCTCAAGATGAAAACCAAAAGCTGACAGCACATGTTGGCCTTACATGTGCACTATACATGCTTGGCCTCACACACATGAACACACACATAACTTTTTTTTAAAATATAGACATCAAGGAAGACACCCAGTGTCAATCTCTGGCTTATACACAGAGAGAGTAATAAATAAATAATAGAAAGAAAGGGAAGGGAGGAAGAAAAAGAGGAAAAGAGGAGGGGTGGGAAGGGAGGAAAGCAAGTTATTCTGAAATATGAAAAATAAATAAGGGACCAGGCGTAGTGGTGCACGCCTTTAATCGCAGCACTCAGGAGGCAGAGGCAGGTGGATCTCTATGAGGTCAAGGCCAGCCTGGTCTATATACAGAGTTCCAGGACAGCTGGGGCTACAGGGAGATCCTGTCTCAAAAAGACAAAAAATAAAATAATAAATAGAAAGGAAGAAAGAAAGAAAGAAAGAAAGAAAGAAAGAAAGAAAGAAAGAAAGAAAGAAAGAAAGAAAGAAAGGCTAGAGAGATGGCTCAGCAGTTAAGAGCACTTGTTGTTCTTGCAGAGGACCTGGATTCAGTTCCCAGCATCTATCAGGCAGCTCACAACTGTTCCAACTATCCAAAACTCCAGTTCTAGAGAGTCTGATGCCCTCTTCTGGCCTTAGCAGTACATGACAGGAAAACATTCATACACATAAAATGCAAATAAATAGAATTTCTTTTAAAATTTTTTAAATTTATTTTTATGTGTATGAATGTTATACCTGCATGTATGTTAAGTGCACCCATGTTATGTAGTGCCCTTAGAGATCAGAAGAGGGTGTCAGATCCCCTGGAACTAAAGTTAGAGACAGTTGCTAGCCACCATGTGGATGCTGGGATTTGAACCCGGGTCTTTTGCAAGAGCCAGTGCTCTTCATCGCTGAGCCATCTCTCCAGTCCCATAAATAAAATTTCTTTTAAAAACAAACATGGGGGCTGGAGCAATGGCTCAGCTGTGAAGAGCACTGGCTGTTCTTGAAGAGGACCCAAGTTTGGTTCCCAGTACACATGTGGCAGCTAACAACTGTTTGTAACTCCAGTTCCAGAGGATCCAACACCTTTTTTGGACCTCCATGGGCACTGCACACATATGGTGCACTTACATACATGCACACAAAACACTCATACACATAAATAAAATAAAAGCTAATAAATAAAGCCATAAAAAAAATTTCTATTGTTCCTCAATAACCTAGGCAAAGGTATTTTGGTATAGGGTTCCATGGAGACTAAGACAGGAGATTTCCAGATTCTTCTCTGACCTGGAGTTCTCTTCTTCCCCAGTGTACTGATTCTTCCAGCTGCTCCCTTCCCTCCATTCTCTCCCCAGTTCCCCAGTCATCCAGTCTGTAACAGCTCCAGTACCCCACAGTTTTCCCATCAACCTTGCCTGGAAATTCCCTAGAGCCATGTTGCTTTGGGGCAGGCTGGAGTCCAGCAAACTCTAAACCTCTACCATCATAGGGCTCAGCAGGAATGCCTGCCCTGTGATTCCATTCCCTGCACTCCTGCCCTCAGTCCTAAGTGGCATTTCCAATGTCCCCTGTCTTCCCAATTTCTCTCCAATTTCTCTTCCTGGTCAAGGATCTCCCAGCCACTTTTTGGAGAAAAGAGAAACTCCCATTTCTAGCCCCCAAAGGTTCCACCCTGTCCCCAAGCCAGCTTCTGTTCTCCATTACAATGGAAGAGATGGCCTATTCTCACAACACAACAGCCCCAGCCACCAAATCATTCCTTTCCTGTACCCACAACCTCTTCTTCTGGCGTCTTCCTTCCAAATTCCAAACTTCTTGAATCTCCTGCAGCTTAAAATAAGGAAACACCAAGATATCTGCAAGGTCTCTGCTGCAGCCCTGCTCTCTCCTCCAAACTTCTAGAATGGAAAAATATTTCATTTCTGTTCACTACTTAACCCACATCAAGGCTGCCGGGGTCCAGCTTTCTCTAGCCACTCCCCTCAGTGGACACTTCCTCCTTGTGTGTCATCCAAGAGGGCTCAGCCTCCCTTTAGCAGCTCACGCCCTCTTTCTGAAACTCTGACCTGTACAATTCCCCACTTGTATCCAAATTTCATCTTCTCAAAATAGAACTCCAGGTTTCCACCAAACTTAACCCCCTTGCACTTCTAGGGAAGAACACCTCTGCTCACCTAGTCCCTGGAGATGGACATCTGGGTGTCTCTCTGCCCTGGGCCTCTGTAGGCTTAGACACAAGGTGTACTTTCATACGCATAAAATAAAAATAAATAAATTTTTAAAAGAAAGAAAGAAACACTCCTTGAAGACTGGCTCTCATAGTATCAGAGGATACCATGCAAGCTGCTAAGGGAGATGACTAATCAATGGTCCAACCCAGCTGTAAAGCCTAATAACCACAACAAAGATCAGTTCGACAAAACATTTCTGTTGGCGGAATAATGGCACTCTTATCTTGGAGGTAATCAAAAGCTATCTAATTGAACTCAAAGCCTGCTCAATGAGAGGGAACTCATGTGTGGTACTGTAAACATAGTCAAATACATATTGCTGGAGAAGTCATAGATCCTATAGAAAAACCTATGTCTGTCTGTCACATCCCTAGACAAACAATTTCTTTCTTTCCTTTTTTCTTTCTTTTTTTTTTGAGACAGGGTCTCCCTGTAGTCCCAGCTGGCCTGGAACTCACCACATAGACCGGGATGGCCTTAAACTCACAGAAATCTGCCTGCCTCTGCCCCCTGAGTGCTGGTATTAAAGGCTTGCACCACCATGCCTGGGCATAATTTCTTACTGTATGCTAAATATGTAAATTTATATATTGTCCATATATTTATTTA